TGATAAAGATACGAAAGAGGTTAATTTCAAAGTGATATTTTATTTTTTGGCCCAGCAGCTAATAGGATGATTTAAAATGATTGTAACACCAAAGTTCATTCATGCTAAACCGGTCTAAAACAAAAACACGCGCGCTCGAGCAAGTAATAGTAAGCCTTTTTCAGGCTCTCAGAAAGTTAAAATGACGCGGATCGATAAAACTGGAAAGAAAAACGCTGGCGGGCTTTTTATATCGTCATAATCGTCTAGCCTTTGATGATAAAGACTAATATGCCATTTTCACTCGGTCAGCACCTATGCAAATTCCTTGAAATTTTACATGAGACAAGAGTTCAATGCCCATAGGATTTTTGGTGCTCAAAGATGGCGGCCGTGACGATGTTTTGGTATACCGATGTTGCCAACCCCGTGAATTCAACTGAAAACGAAAGAAAGTCTGATTTCCAGACTAATTTACCCCAGAAATGTACCAGTCAATTCCAAAATGCTCATTCCCCTGGGCATACCCCGGGCATTTGAATGGAGCGTTGATCCTTACTGTGGGGAATTTGACCCGCCCAGTCGGACATTTGACTTTCGCCGGTGTCAATACTCTGGTCAGCGTCGCAAGCAAAAGGATTTCGTAATTCTTTCCCCATCCAGCATATGCGCCACTTTCACCGGTGCTCCTATATTCGCTGTTTTGTTAGAGCTTTGAGAGTCTTTGAAAAAGCCCGTATATGTGGGCTTTCTGGAATGAACAGTTTTATTGCAATGAACAAACCTCCAGCTGTAAGACTGCTTTTCCATACTTAAGATATTTCGGTTGTGTTTAGTAGGATTTTACACTTGAATAAACGGTTTGACGCATCGAAAAACTTTTGAATGGTCGCCGGTGGGTGGGGGATTTGACTCTTTTTGAAGCGCTAGCCGGTGTGGAATTTGACCATCTATACAGCCGACATACCGGGGAATTTGACCAAAATTTTTCAAAAAAGTCAAATGTGTGGGGGGGAGGGGGGGGGGTATGGGCGATTTTGGACTTGACTGGTGCATAAATAAAGTTGAGTTAGTTATTTCTGTAACTCAGGTAGGCAAGTATCTAAGTGGTTTAGAGTGAAGCCTCTCTATATATAACTTACTACTGTTTGGGTAAAACTAATTTAAGTACTAGTAAAGGGGCCAAAGTACTTGCAGAAAGCTGTTAAGAACCAGAACCTTTGTATACCTTCAGTTGTAAGGCGGAATCTAGCGTTACAGTGCGTTTTTATAACAACTGTACTATGAACTCGAAGGTGGCCTTTGATATATATATGCACAAGTCCGAAACGGTCGAGTGCAGTATAGCTTGATATTCATAGTCCATCCCTTAAAAATGCACTGCATCACCTGTTCGGCCGTTTTGGAAGAGATTCGTTTCAAAGCAAAGACGATTTCTCCAGTGAATTTCAAAATACCGGCAATGGCTTTAAACTCGTCAGAAACATTTCCATTATTTAGGTTATACGTTTGCTGCTATACATTTTTTATACATATTTTAATATTAGTTATTCACGTGTTATCAATCTCACAGTAATTACTTAATTTGGTATACACTCAGTCATGGCCTTGGCAACTATACTTTTATACCCTGAGGGAGCCCAATATCTTAAGTCGTATGGTTTCTTTTTGCGCTTCTTCACCACGTTGCTCCTGTGTATTTCTGTATTCTTGTCTTTTCTTTTTTTGTGGTGAAATATACCAAGCTAAACTAAACTAAAAACTGTTGTTGGGCATTAGACATAGGCAAAGTCCGTTAACGGGTCATGAGGGCTTAAGCCTGAAGAGTTACTATTACTACTCGGTCTCCTTGGGTAGTATGTCGCTGGTTTCCATTTGTACACTTAAGAGGGGTACGAGGGAAGTGGAGTAAAGTTTTTTGTATGAGAAATCGACACAAACGGGAGGTTTGAATACGGACTTCTAGATCTCAATTTCGAGGTGTCACTCCGGCACTCGCCCACCAAGCTTCCACCTACGAAAAATATAGGCCCACCACTAAATCATTTCGGTTCCATCGCATTGACTGAAATAAGCTATAAGCACTCGAGCTCCCAGCGCAATGCTTGCATAGCTTTGCATTCTCTTTTGGCGCAGGTCTAAATCCTGGGAATACATTTAATAAATGAAGAATAAACTGTAACATTAAGGACACTTTAATCTTTTTTGCCCCAAGAAATGACAAAAAGGCCAAAGTATTTTAGTACTAATTATTATTATTAGAAAACTTTATTTCGTACAGAACTAAAACGAGGACTGGGTAGAGTAGATTCATTAAATATCAAAGAATGTAATTATTTTAATTTAAAGCCCTTGATTCACAGTTTGGTGTCTGATCTATATACCAGCTCGTATAATTTGGAGGAAAATTCAGAAGCATTTCGTGTAAATTCCTGTTTATAATAATTTTCCAAGGCTTTTCACTTGTCGCCATATATACTTACAAATCCTTCATCATGAGTGGCTGAGTTACATGAATAGGAAAATACTGTTCTTTGCTTCTAACTTTATGACAATTTTTCCATAAAAGCCTTTCGAAGTCCCACCCGTATTCCCCCTCTCTCGTGCTCACCTCCTATTACATTGCACGATTCTAGAAAAAAAAGTTGCAAGATCGAAAGGGAGGGTAGGACCCTCCATAAGGCTAAAGTAGAATTGTTAAATAACATAAGTCATAAATGCTGTATAGCTGAAAACTATGATAACCAAACAGAACTTTTCCTGATCTATCATTTACTTTTTTTAATTTTCCAGATCGGAGGGGACATCCTTTGCAAATGAACGAGTTGATAAAACTACCCTTTAAAAGCATTTTGTAGAACAAAATTTATAGAAGCTCTATCACATAATTGAGCACACATTTTTCATGCGAAACTTTTAAGTGCACGAAGTATACCAAGTAAATACTGTTTCGTAGCCCATATATATGCGTTACAAACAAGCATGTGTATATAGGGTCACAGAAAGTCGTCGTATAAGAAGCCCGAATTATACCGTCAGCAAAAAAACCCCTCATGTACGATGGAGCTGAAAAGTAACTTCAGTTTGAATCAAGCATGGCCGCAGTGGCCGCGTTAATTTCGAGTAAGGTTTGGTTCTTATTCATTGCCCTCACAGTAGTGGTGGTTGTTGGCTCCCCGACAACGGATTTGTTGAACTCCATGGATAGTCTCTTGAGAGACTGTGTACGCTATTCCACAAATGTTGACCGAAACAACGGTCGATTCCGTTAGAAATGAGCGTCTGACAGGCCAAACACGACTCACAAGCTCGTGTGATAATGTGAAAAATGACCTTGAGAGTCTGCTTGAACAGATCGATTTTTCTTCTTTTCTCTCTCGCGCGCGAATTATCACCTTTTTTCCTCCACGAACACGTTCTAAGCCTCATAGTCTCGAAGCTTCGTATTCTTTCCCTCCATTCACTCCATAAATTTCATGTTTCTTGTTTTGTATTCTCACATTTTGATAGCCTTCTACCTGCCTCTCTTTCCTTGCTCCTCCACTTCAATTTTTATACCTTCTATTGACAAATGGTACTCCTTTCACATACCTTGCTTAGAACTTTGTATCCCTTTTAACTGCTGGAAACCCGCACTGTCATAAAATAGGAATCAGTCACAAATGTAGAACGCTTTCTCAACGGGTAAGAGGTTGGACCTAGGGGCGGAGCCTCCCCGTACAAATATTTGTTGAGTACCTCTCCGGGATTTCGGGCGGAGCCTCCCCGTATAGGCCATCATAGGGAGTACCCTCCCCCCGGGCATAGCAGGAAATAATCACATTCCCGGACAGAGAAACTTACACGCATTCATGTAGTTATTCCGCAGATCCAGGATTTACGAAGAAAACCATGGAAACTAAAATGATCTTTATTTAGTCGTAATACTAAATTAAAGCTTTAGGCTTAAACAGAGGTCAAAGAAAATTAAAACACTTTACAACTGCATCTGAGGTCAACTCCTATCAGGAACACCTAAACAACCATAAACCACTGGAAATGATCACTCAGTATGCATGTAATTCTCTGTAGTGCTAGTAACTTTAACTTTAACTTTATTATTCCATCATTCATATAGTACAAACTCAGTAAAGCCAAAGCCGGGGGCTTATACGACCTGTGGTCAAAATGACAGAAATTATTTTATATAGAAATGAAGACTGAAGGCTAAATAACAAAACTAAAACAAGATACAAAACTTAAATTAAGTAATCCAAGCAGTCCTACAACAGAGATAAAACTAGTTCAAGTACTAAGTGACAAATAAACTAACAATAAACTATGATAATCCTGCGCTAATTCAATTCAGGCTTAAAAAGTAAAGTTTTAGTTTCTTTTTAAAGTCAGCGGTGGTAAGGCTGTTACGAACAGTCAAAAGGATATCAGTGGAATATCCTTTGCAATGAAAAAGAACCAAACCTTGCTCGAAATTAACGCGGCCATTGCGGCCATGCTTGATTCAAACGGAAGTTACTTTTCAGCTCCGTCGTACATAAGGGGTTTTTTTGCTGACGGTATAATTCGGTGCCTCTTATACGACGACTTTCTGTGACCCCATATACACATGCTTGTTTGTAACGCATGTATATAGGCTTTTTTTGTGCGCATATATATAAGCGTTTGTAAGAAAATGGTCATATACTTGGGAATAAAACCCCACAAAGCGGGAAAGAACGCAAGCATAAGTGGCAACAAAACGCACGTATATCGTGTAGCAGGAATGATTGCAAATATACGTGGGAAAAAACCGCACGTATATCGTCTCGTAATTTTGAAACAAATGGCCGACCTTAGTAACCTGCGACGCTAAAAACTCTTGAGAGTTTTTCGTAGATGCTATATATTACCTTGTTAGCTAAAGATAGGTTTCGAAAAGAGACGGACAAATACAAAGTAAGTGTTTGATGAATGGGAGGTCTTCAATCTTGCCCCGCATTTAGCATAGAGTTGTTCCTCTTGCATAGCGAACTGTATTCATCGTA